ACGTAGAAAGTCCTCAAAGGGTCGTTTGGAGCGGATATTTGGAGATTGTAGGAGGAGAAACCCCCCAATTTGGGTCCCGTGATCGGGCGTCTACTGTAGACAGCCAAACCCCAGAAGGGGTCCTCGACCACTGGACTAGAAGACGAAGGGGGCGTCTCCCCTGCTTCCTGCGGCGTCCGTGGCCAAGGTGGAGGCCGGCAGCGACTGCGACTGCGAAGGCGACTGGGGCGGCGGTGCCATGGCAGGGCTTGCAGGTACCGTGTTGGCCTCCTGGGGGCTGGATGAGAGGCCTCAGGGCGTCCGCGCCGCCATGTTGTCCCGTTGGGGTCACCTTAGGCGTCCCGGTCCCTTTCTGGGGTTTTCCTTTCGCGCACCCTCGGGCCACCTCTGTCCGGTTTCTCACGATTGCCCTGTTTTGGCCCCAGCCCGGGCCGGGAGGGCCCCTTCCTGGCCGAGGGCGGGTCCCGGGATTCCTCGGTTCTCGTTCTCGCCTCCAAGGTCAGCGCTCGCCAGTCCGCTCCCGGTAGGGGCGGGGGGAGCGGGCGGCTGGGGGGCGCGACCATCCCCTCTTCCGCTCTGGGGCTCTGGTAGGGGACCCAGCTTCTGAGAAGCCGGTCACTCTGTCCCCACCACTTCGGTTGCTTTTTTAAGTCAGAGGGGGCGTGGGGGGGAAAGAGAAAAGGGTCTCCTGCCCCGAGCCCTGCTTTGGTGTCTGGGATGATAGGTCGACTCTGGAGTCTCGGGGACTTCCTACTCCCTCTAACTTTGCATCCAGTCTGGACACCCGTCCCTTTTCCTTCAGTGTATGTGGGGACTGGCCCTCAAGGGCAGCAGAAGGAATGGAATGCCTGGCACACTTCATAGCCTGGAAAGGAAAACCGGGAATGGGGGCTGGGGATTGGGGGTTGTGGGGATAGTTGCTTTTTTTCCTTACCCCTCCCAAACTTTCTTTAATTTCCTTCCAGGCTTCTGTGTGCCTTTTTAATGCTAAATGTTGGGCAGACTGGGGTTTTGTCCTAGGGAAGAAATGGTCTTTCTTGTTTATAGGTTTGGGTCGTGTTTTATCCCTTCCCAGGGCACTGGTGTGTTGGGGACAGCTTCTGTTTGCCTTGCCTGACATGGTCCAACTATTCCCTCAGCAATGCCAAAGCCAGGATTAAAAAAAAAAAAAAAAAAAAAAAGTTCCAGCTTAAATGCTAATGCCAAATGTTAGGTCTTGTTTATTTGTTTTAAATACGAGATTCATTAATGTCAAGAAAAATCTGTTTTAAAAAAAATGATTCAGAGCCCTGGTTGGTTTCCAGTGACTAGATCAATTCCATATCTGAAAAATTGGTCTCGTTAGAATTGCTGCCAAAAACAGTTTAACCTTTTACGTGTAATATGTTATTTCCAAGAGGAATCTGAAAGTCTGGGTTTGGCCATCGTTTTGTTGTTGTTCTCTTATATTTGAAACACATGCATTCCATTTAAACCTGTCACTGTGTGATATACCAAGGACCATGTGTTGCCTGCCTCTCTGACTTCCTGTTCTGGGAATGCTGAGAAATCTGGGTTCTGCTGGGGTCCAGGCCCTATGGGAAGGAGAAGGGAGTGAGACAAGGGTGAACAGGATCTTTCCCAGAGAAGATGATGATAAGTCTCTGGGGCATATAAAGGAAGTAAGAGGTCACCAGGGAAAAAGAGACTGTTGTTAATGTTTGTGTGTGCACCTGTGTGCATGCACTCGTGCACATTTAAATCTCTGGCGGGAGAGAAACTAACTGCAAATTCAGACTCTCACTTTAGGATGCTGGCTCCTGAGCAAATACAAGTTTGAAAATAATGTCTAACAATTGGCTCACAGCAAACCTTCTCCCTCACCCAAACCAGGTGTAATAAACTCTTGCTGTCCCATAGTTGAAGCTCAAGAAATGTGTCCTCCTGCCCCTCCCTTTAATCACAATCCAAATACTCCGCAGATAGAGGTAACAGTGTCACATAGCACCCCTGACCATCATGGTGCCTGAACTCCCCTGGGGCTTAACTTCAGTTGGTTAAGCTAAGAAACTAACATCCTTTTGGGGGCAGTCTCACCTGTTACTGCAGTTCCACAGAGCCATCCCAGTCCTCTCACAACTCATCTGCTCTCGCCGCGTGGCCTTGTGGGGGTGGTAGAGATAGTTAAGGAAAAGGGGAGGCCTGTGGACTAAGGGCTTTACAATAAAACTCTAGTCATTTTCAGCTCCTCCCATTGCTATCTGTCAGAATAAAATGTTTTAATGTTTTATGGGGAAAAAATATTATAAACAAGCTGTTTGTACCAGACTTCTAGTCCTTGCACTGGAGTAGAAAGTGAACACATTCCTTCTGTCTTCTCTGTTGGGTTATGTTTGTTGCCAAGACATGGTGGTTTGGGAATGGGGGACAAAAGAAGGGAGTGGACATTACACACTCAAGCCCACCCATGCAGGTGTAGGCCATCATGGCAGCCTTTGCCTGGAAGTCTGACATCTCACAATGCTCTGAACCCTGCTGATATATGGATGGAGAAAGCCACATGGGTGGGTTTTGCCAAGATCTTCTGGAAAGCTCTGAGGCTACCTCCTGTGTCCAGAGCAGCCAGACCTGTCTGTGCTGCTGCAGCCTGTCTCAATGAACCTAGCTGCCTTAAAACTGGGCTGAGGTTAGAGCCTCTGGGCACATCCCTGGAAGTCTCTGAAGGGAGAGGCAGCCTTCATTAAGAACACATGTTGAAATATGTTCATGGTGCTGGGGGTTTCGGTAGAAAACTACAGAAACTCCACTCTTGAGGCTTGCTAAGAGATGGGCTTCAGAAGGGAGGTGTGGGCATTGCCTGCTGATGAGGCAAAAGGAGAGACCAGCCTTGCCTTCAGGCTGTAGTAGAAGCTGGAGCCACCCAGCCTAAGGAAGAGGGAGTCTCATATTGCACATCCCATTCCAGTCCTATCATTCCTGATTGCCACTTTGATAGCAGAATGTTTCTAGTATGTTAGGGTTCGCTGGAATCTTAGCAGCCCTCTTACAGAGGGTAACTAAAGAGTAGGGTTAGTGACCTGGCCAGATTCCCTGGGCTGATCGATGGCAATGCCGATATCAGAACTGAGGTCTGCACCCACCACCACCCTAATTCTCTGATGCCTCCAGAGGTGCGGGTGGTTGGGTTGAAAAACACAAGGGGCTTGCTAAGAGAACATTAGGTTCAAGGGGGTGAGGCGAGTTGTGCTTCAAAGTGTTTGTGACAGCTGTGACTAAGGGATTTGAGTAAGTGGCAGAGATTTATGGCTCTCCAACTCCCTCCCTTGGTGTTGACCTAGGAACAGGTGTGGTGACAGAGACATATAAAGCCACAGTCAAGACTGAGTAGACAGCAGAGCCAGTTGGTGAGGTGGTCAGCTGACCCCATATCAGGAGCCCTAACTCACTGAGGAGTGGGAAAAGGGAGAGAAGTCTGGAGCTGAGCAGCCCCCCCACCCTGACATGAGGGTCAGGGCCCTGGTAAGCACTGCTAAAATTAAGGAGGCTAATTCTAAAAGCAGAGAACCCAGTATTGGGGTGAGTGTGCTGGAGAGGATTCTGGGAGTGGGAGGGATAACCTAGAGAGAGTAGCAAGACCGGCAGGATGCCCTTGTAATGGTCCTGATAGTGGTTATAGGGCCTAGAAGGATGAACTGGGCAAGGGAGCTGCCACGCATACCATTTATCCCATAGTCATTGCCCAACCCAGTGCCCACCTGCACAGTATTCATTCCTTGGGGTTCCTGGATAGAGATGGGGCTTGTGTTCTGAAGTCCTGTGTGTGTGTTCCTCCATCCCTGCATTCCTCTTCCCTATTTCTAATACCCCATTTTGAGGGCCACTCCTGGCATTCCGCTCCTCCCATCTTTCCCAGTGATCATCTGCCAAGGCCCTTTATTCCTGGACAAGTGAAGGCACCTACCCTCTGGAAGGGAGGAAGGGGGTAGTGGTCTCTTATTCTGAGACCACAAGTGAAGACCTCTTTGAGGGGGATATGGTCCTTTATTTCAGGATAGTGTTGAGATATATGATATATGAGAGTCCCAATATCCATTTTGTTGCCTCCCCAGCCCCTCCTTCTCCCAAGTATCATGCCTACTTCACAATGGGCACATCAACCCAGCCACAAAAGAAGTTACAAGAGACAACTTTTTGGTGCACTTCCACCGCCCCGCAGGGTCCTGGGACACTGTGCGAGATGGGGGAGGTGCTTTTTTATTTTTTGTAGAGGTGGTCCCTGTTCTCCAGGAGCTTACAATCTAGCCGGGAAACTCAACTAATGCACACTTACACAATTATTACAATTAGCGATTACCACAATATTGACCACAATTAGGTGAGACCAGGGAAAAGATCAATGAGGGACTGGGGGCTTGGAGGTATTTTAGTTAAGTTGGGATTCTTTTACTGATTGAAGAGGTCCAAATTGAGTGACACATTTTTTCTAGCAGGGTGGGCTTGGGAGGTGGGGGAGGGGAGAATAGAGGGAGCAAAGGCAGCAAGACTGGAATGCACATGCAGTAGGCAAGGAACAGTGATAGGGCCCCACTCTTTCTTTTTTTTTTCCCTCCCTTTTTTTTTATTGATTATGGTATCACATAATTGTCATCATCCCCCAATCCCATCCCAAACCCCTCCCTACATATGCCCTCACCCCTTCTCCCCCCATTGTCCATGGCCACTGGCCAGGCCCATATGCATGCACACAAGTCCTTTGGTTGATCTCTTCTCCTTTACCCCCCCCCCTCTCCTACTTTCCCTCTGAGGTTTGAAAGTCTGTTCGGTGCTTCTCTTTCTCTGAGTCTGTTTTTGTTCATCAGTCTATGTTATTCATCATTTCCTCTAGATGTGTGAGATCTTGTGATCTAAGAAATACCCTTGTAAGAACCTAAACTGAGAAAAGCCATACTGGTTATGCTGAGAGGCAAATGAATCAGTCTGTAGTGAGTTCCTTTCTGGACCAACCGTTCTTTTGAGTTCCGCTCTGTTTCTTAACCCTCTTCCTCCCCCACCCAAGCCCTCTTGTCCCGCCACACAGACACGCAGTTGACTCCTTGTCTGCTGCTCAGAGATTCAGGGCTTCGGCCGATTGATGTTGGAATGTTCATTCTGCTGGCTGGTATGGTGGTCTGGATCTCTGTGGTGGGGCCTGCTGGCATGGCCCTGGTTGTGGGGCTGGGATGTTGCTGTCCGACTCCAGATCAGAGTGCCTATGCCCAAATCTCAGAGTTCTGCTCCCTCCATCCCTCCTCCCTCTACCCCGCCCCATAGTGGGAGGGGTACAGAGGAGTTGGGAAGGGGTCTGGTATTGTCGTCATTGCGGTGCTGTTTCTCCGGAGGCCTGCCAGCCCCTCATTGACCTTGGCAAATGCTCCTCTGGCGAGGGAGCACAGGGGACCCCCTATTCCTGGGCGGCATTGGCTCCCATGCTGGGCGGGATGCACAAGAGCACCTGGTGACATGGCCGCGGGCTAGGGGCTGGGGCCTTAGTTGGGGGCTCGGCGGCGCTCTCCCAGCACGTGCCGCCCGGTCCTCGACACGGTGTACACCACCTTCTGCAGGGAGTACCTGAACACCTGTAGTGAGAGACCCAGTACCTGCTCTTAGATGTGGGGATCCGCAGCCCGGGTACAGCGCTTCAGTTCCCGCCACCGCCCCTCCCCCTGCCCCGCCCACCTGTCCCACTAGGAGAGGCAGGCGGGGCACAGCTTGTCCACGCGTCAGAGCAACTGGAGCTTTTCCAGCTGTGCTGAGCTGCATGGCAGCAAGCTGATTGGACCTAAAACTTAAGTATACCTCACTTCTTGCAATAGGCTGCGTCCCTGGAGAATTTCGAAAAGGGAATCCTACCCAGTAAATGCAGCATTCCAGGAACACCTTGAAGGAAATATGCAAGTCCTTTGGCAAAAGAATCCTTTAGCAGGAAATTATTCCTGCAAAGGGTGCTTTTAGGGTAAATGGTTTTATGGGCAAAGCGCTTTTTTTTCTGATTTTTTTTTTTTTACCCAAAGTGCTTTGCCTCTATTAGATTTTTTAAAATAAATAAAGTAAATTTGATTTTTTAGAAAACGCCTTTTTCTCTTCCATTTTCCTGCAAAGAGCCTTTTCCTTTGTTTTCCTCAAAGCACTTTTACCTGATTCATTTTTTGTTAGCTGCGTTGTCTATAATTTTTTTCTGCAATGTGCTTTTTATCTAATGCAATTTTTCTGCCAAGTGCTTTTGTCTATCTTTCCTGCAATGCGCATTTTTCTCGAATTCATCCCCCACAAATTACTTTTTTTCTAGTTTGTTGTTTGTTGGTCTTTGTGAGGTGCTTTGTATTTGAGAAGTGCCCTTTCTTAATTTATTTTTCGGCTCAGCCCCGCAAGCGCTATATTTTTTAAAAAGTAAATTTCCCCTGCAATGCGCAATTTTTTAAGGTGGAAAATTTTTGCTATGTGAGTTGTAGCCTCTTCACAAAACTGAGGTGCCCCGCCTCCCTCCTAGGGTCGAGTCTGAGTGTAGCGGGTTTTTCTTACCATGTTGGTTGCTAAGAGCCTCCGCGTTCGTCGGTGGCTGGCGCCCGCCGCGCCCCGACTCTTTGTTCCCAGCCGGGCGCGGGCGCACTGAGAAGGGTCCGCGCTAGGAGGAGGGCGCAGGGAACGGGTGGGGGCGCGTGGCGCCGTTTGCGGCACTCGGGCAGGCAGGATCGCGGCCATCAGGGATCGTGGCAATCAGGATAGGATGGGTATGAGCACGGCAGTTGCAACGTGAGCTTGCCAGTTCGGGGTATACACATTGGGACCCCTCTGCCACCCAGTACCCCGGGCACACTTACCTGCAGCAGCACGCGGAAAATGTACCAGCCAATGATGAGAAGTTCAGCCGATGCTGCCGCCACTGCTGCCATGGTTCCGAGAATGGGTGGTTGAGAGAGTTTGCCGAAGGCTGAGGGTTCGCCGCGGGCCGCTGGTCTGTCGGAGGCCGCTGTTGGGCGCACTGCCGCAGCCGGCCCTTAAGTATCCGCCCGCTACCCAAATGCGCATGCGCACCTGGGCGGGGGTGATCCCGTAGGGTGGGGCGCTCCTCATTCGCTAGGAGAGGACAAAATAATCCATCTGCTCTTGCCACACCGACCCCCGCCTCCTGAGTTTCATCTTAGCCCCTTTCCAGAAGATTCTGCCGTACTAGCTTTTGAATATTAGTGTAAAATGAAGGGGGGTTGCAACTCTGAGTAGCGAACTGCACGAGTGTAGTTAGTGGTTGTGCGCCTCTTGGTACGGATCTCTTCTCTTCGAACCCAATGTCCGGTGCCTTCCCAGAATCCACCTTGGGCACAGATGGAAACGTAATTTAGAGAAGGATCCTTTGCCTATAGAACTGAAAAGGCTGCCCCTTCCAGGAACCTTGTCTTCATAGGTCCCTGCTCAGCGCTCTTTTTTGAATATTTGATGTGCTGTAAGCCAGCGTCCTCTGTTTCACGGGAGTTCTCTGAGCGTGTCATCTTTCCCTGATTCCTTGAGTCCCACTTCCGTTGCTAGACCTATGGCCGTGGCGATTGTAGGACTCTTACCAGAGCACTGAACTCTAGGCGGGAAAACGGTAGTTACTGGGTATATTTTCTGAGAGGGGTCCAGGAAGGGATGGGATGAGCTCTCGTGTAAAGTGGTCAGAATGCGCTGAGGGATAGATTGCTGCTGGACAGGTCATTTCAACCTGTCTTCTGTTCTCCTTCCTCCGCGGTCCTGGTCTTGCGCAGCCAACGAGGTTCTTTGTATTCGTTGCACTGGACAGCTGGAGCAGGGCTTTGCTACCGCCAGCAGAGGGTTGTGGCTCCCGCCGTATGCAGGCGCATCAATTAGACCTTAACACAGCGGATCTGCAAGTGTGGCCCCAGGGCACTGGTGGCCCGGCGCTGGTGAGCACCTCTCTCCAGCATGTTGCCTGGCACAGGGGCCAAGTGACATTTGCCCCTATGTGGACAGGAAATTAATTTTTATTAAAAGCTCACAGAAATCAGGTTCCATACAGTGCCAGCAGCAGATGGAGTGTAAGTGATCCAAGCGAGGTCAGTTTAAACAAAGTAACATGGTGATTTATTATTTTTTTTATATTCACTTTTTAAGAAGTTGGCTGATTTTGGTAAAATGATGCCAGGCTAATTTGTAAAAGCAAGCTGCCATCTTAAAACAAAATATTTGATGGTACTGCTGCTGCTGCTGCTGCAGTTCCTGCAGGCTCTGCACCTGCACGGTTAACTGCTTTAACTCCCTACTGAGCACCTGCTGTGAGAGAGAACCCTGTGCTAATCCTGTGGGGGCACAACATCGAGCCATGACCATTTAATGGCAACCACAGAGCGGTATTGTGAGGTCTGGACCCCTTGAGGACGGGCCGCAGCCCCAGGAGGCGATACATGATCTCTGCTGGGCAGGGCCCAGGCAAAGCCAGTCCACTGTTCGGGACCTGCCGGAAGAGCTCCCAGGAAGCCCAGGGGAGACACCCCAGGAGGCTTCTAGGAATGGTGACTTCCATGGGTGGGCAGGGAGGAAAGGGCATTCACATTTACTGTTGTTAACCATGATCCATTTTCCCAAATAAGTATACATTCTGTTCCTGTTTTTTTGTTTGTTTGTTTTTTGTTTTTTGTCTGTCTGTCTGTCTGTCTTTGTTTGTCTGTTGTGTTGACTTTTCTCTTCAGGACCCCTGCTGCCTTGGTGATCCTGGGCTGACAGCCAGAGAGCACAGCGGCTGAGCTCCTGGAGAGTGAGGGTTGAAGAACGCGGAGGGCAGCGCCCACGCCCGCGGGCTCCCATTAGGTCGGTTCCTGCAGCGGTGTTCAGCGGCCTTGGTGAAGGCCCTGCCTGACAGAGATCATGTATTGCCTCCAGTGGCTGCTGCCTGTCCTCCTCATCCCCAAGCCCCTCAACCCCGCCCTGTGGTTCAGCCACTCCATGTTCATGGGCTTCTACCTGCTCAGCTTCCTCCTGGAGCGGAAGCCTTGCACAATTTGTGCCTTGGTTTTCCTAGCAGCCCTGTTCCTCATCTGTTATAGCTGCTGGGGAAACTGTTTCCTGTACCACTGCTCGGATTCCCCGCTTCCGGAATCGGCACATGACCCCAGCGTTGTGGGCACCTAACAGCCTGCACATTTAGCTTTCTAAGGAAGCAGAAGACGGGAGGGGAGGCATTGACATAGGTCATAAAGCATTGGAGTTTCAAATCCCGCAGCCTGCGGGTGCCACATTCCTGACGGCGCCTTTTTGGCCTGTGATGTTTTATCCTTATAATGTGAATAATAGCACTGACAGGTGCTTTTATTGTAGAGTCCTTTAGCCATGGGTGGTCTTGTGGTTGTGTGTGTTCTGTCCCCATCTTGGTCCCAGCTGTCAAGATGCACCCCCGCCCCCCCTCGCCTCATTCCTGCGAGGAGTCTGCACTCATCCTGATCAACTACCCCAGCATGACCTGGGCAGATAAAATGCCAAGTTCATTGTCACCTCTGTGACTCCCTCCTTGTCAGGATCTTTTGCCTTCCCAGAATATTCCCAAATCCTCAGTTCCTCTTCTGGTTTCCCTTTAGTTCTCTTCTACCCCTTTCCTTTTTTGGGAGCATCTGTCTAAGACAGGGCTCATTTTTGCACTTATCTCGAATTTAAAGAGATTGCTGATGCCCGAGAGCCTCGCTTTTTCATTCTTCTTTCCCTGATCAGCAGGCTAGACAGAAACATGTATTGACTGTTTGATGTTCACAAATCTCCAGTATTTTTTCCACTTCATTTTTAAGAAAGAAGTAACATGTTGCTCTTTCACCTGGGTGTCTGGGCTCATTGCTCAGCATCACTCCTTTGTCCTTCCTCCTCTCCTCCTCAGCTGTCCAGAGGGGGCTGGAGGTTGGCCTCATTGTCTCTCCTGTGCATGCTCTGCAGGATTGAGGTGTAGCGTGTTCATGTAGATCTAGAGTCCCCAGCCGAGTGAATGAGAGAGTACTTGTGTGTTTCAAAACAGCCATGATCCCTTGATAGGTGTTTGGATATTTTTTGGTGTGCCGTGTGTATACGTGAACAAATACATGTGTATATTCCTTTTAAATAAGCTTTATTGAATGTGTTCTGATTTTGAGGTATAGCAATAGCTACTATAGTAGGTGCCGCTACAGTTTTTATTTAGCATGGGATTGCAGAGTGACCAGCACACTGGACTCCAAGGTGGTTCAAACAAGACAGAGGGGAGCAGTGACCATCCTCGTGCCAGGAGCTCCTTCAGTCCTACACATATAGACTGTACGAAGAATACAAAGAGGAAGACTTGTGACTGTCACTTGCTTTTTTTGCTGTTTCTGCGCTTTCATACAAGTGTTGGCAAACGAGACTTTCTCCTGGTCCCTGCCCATTGGCAATCGGTATGATTGTCCCTCCAGTCTAAACCATCCATCTTTCTCTTGCCTGAGCAGGAAGGGAGGTGGGCCAGGTAAAGGACACAACTGGAGGCAGTCCATCTAGGAAATGGGACCAAGAGGCCACACTTATGGAACATTTGGACTGCTATTCTGGAGCTTTTATTTCTGGTGTGTTCGTTGCAAAGCTGTTTGAAATGTTTAATAAAGCTTTATAAACTTTACTTTGTGGTTTTATGTGGCTGCAGTCCATTTAGGTCATGGTGTTGGGTTTCTAAGTTGGTGCGGGGCAGAAGGTAGCATGGAGGGGCTGAGTCTTTGGCGCCAGAGTACCTTAGCCTGAAAATTTGATCTGTTCTCTGGAGAGCAGATGGTGGGTTCGGGAGAGGGGGAGCAGGGGCCAGGCCAGGCGGTGAACAAGAGGGAGTCTGAAAGTTTTCAGAGATGAGACATTTGCGTTTTTCAGCTCCCATGGCTTCTCGCCTGAAACTGTTTCCCTCCATAGGAGATTTGAGTAACCGATCCCTTGACAAACAACTTAAGACAGCTGGAGCTCCAATCATCAAGGATTTTTATGGTGCTGTTTTTGAAGTAAAAATAAAGTGAAACCCCTATGGCATCTGAAGTGGAAAAATAAATATAAGTCTGGCCATTCAACCAGGGGGCTTACGGCTTCAGGCAATGGCTACAAGTTCAGTGTCATCGATGTCCATGTGCTCCCATGGCTGTGGCCTTTGAGACAAAGCAGGGTAGCTTGTCACAGCCCTTGTGCTGGTTGTCTACCTCTTTATCTTTGTCTCTTCTAGAAAACATAACAAGCACTACCTGTCCGAGGCACAGAGCTATTGTGAGGGTCTATTGAGGTAACGGTTGTGAAAGGTCTTTGGTAACTTCATAGTTTACCTGGGTTTTTAATTTCTTGCTATAGTTTTATGTAATTTCCTCCTGTCCTTTTAAAATCTCTTTGTTGTCAGTTTTTCATTTTTTCACTCTAGTGTTATTAGTAATTTCTCTTGATCAAAACTTGCCAAAGATTTGTACATTTTAAAGGTATTTTCAAAGAACTAAACTTGTATTGATTATGTCTGCTATCTGATTCTCCAATGCTTTTATCTCTGAATTCTTCTCTTCTGGGTTTCTGGGTATATTTCCTGGTTAAGCAAGGTCTTAAGCTGAGGAGTCACACATGTGGAAAGGATGGTTTGTTTAGCAAACATTGAGCCCCTGTTCTCTGCTTCCTGGGGATTTCAGGGGCAAGACCTAGGCCTGACTCTATAAGACCACATGATTCTAACCTAGTGAGAAGACTTAAGAAAATAGACAATAGCAAATTCCAAAAACAAAACAAACAAACAAAAAAGGCTTTTGTGGCCCTACTCTCCTGTGGAGGCACCTGAATGATAAAGGAAACCAAGATTATTGCTTATTTTGCTCTCCCTCAGAAACCAGCTTTCTGTCAAAGGTCAAGCCTGCTTGAGAGTCACAAACAGGCCTCCCTCTGAAAGATTTCTGACCCTTTACAGCAGGATTCCTGCAGCCCGCCCCTTCCCAAGGTGACTGCCAAATCATTCTTTCCACCTTACTAAGGCAGCACAGCAGCACCCTGCCCCCTTTTCTGAAACATTTTTCACGAAAGTGTAAAGTAAGATACTTCTGGAAAAGAGCAGGAGGATGCTCTGCAATTCTGCTGATCTCCTAGTGTGACATGGTAATTGCAAGACTCCAAGAGGCTTAGGTCTGGGCTTTAGGAACTAGTCTATGTCCTGCTCTGGACCCCATTTTACTTATAGGTAAAATAAGTTCTTTTAGGGTCCTCCTGGCTACATTTGAGTAACGTGGCAGTGCCCGTGTAAGACAGCCTGCGTATGCTTTATGCTTTAGTCAGTGTACCATGTGAGCTCAGCTATGCCTGTCAGGAAGCCTTCCTGAACTTCATCCCTCTCCCTGGAGATCCGCTTGCCTAGAGCACTTTACTCAGCCTCCTGTTTAGTGCTAGTGTTAGTGCTAGGCAAACTCCTCTTCTATAGTTATTGGGATCCTGTCTCCCAAGGGAGCCTGAATTTTTATTTAGTCAGCAGGTCCTTATCAGAATCCCATGCAGTAATAGGCCTTGGGGCCACATTGTAGACAAGATGGACAGTCCATTCCACCATGGAGTCAACCAGGCCACTGGGAAAGGGAATGACATTGGACAGATATATATATATATATATATATATATATATATATATATATATATATATACACACACACACACACACACACACACACACATACACATACACACACACACACACTATATACATACTATGGATTGTGGCAGGTGCCATATAAGAGGAGTCTGAGAGTGGATCTGATGTAGACTGAGGAGGATTGCTGTTCAAACTGACACCTAAGAACAATATGTTTGAACAGTGAGTAATAAATGTTATTCTTTCCCACCATTTGATCAAGCATCTCTGTGCTTACATATAAAGAGACTGGGCTGAAAGTAAAGTGAAAGACCACCAGTACTTGGCTACCCTTCAGTCAGAACTCTAAAGGGGGTGGGCATAGAGATCAGTCTATTTAAAGCTAGAGGGCTTTGATTGCAGAGGGGGGCTAAGGCTGATGTGGTGGCAGATCCCAAAACTCAGTCCCAAGAACTCGTTTCCAGGTGACTGGAACCATCACAAACAAGGATCAGATGGGAATAAGGGATGACCCAATCAGAACAGCATTCAAAGTTGGATTCTTTCAGTAGGGAACAGGATAGCATTTGAGTAGTGAAAAGCAGCAGGGCTGTCAAGAAAGGCATTGCCCTGGGGAGAAGTAGCTCTAAGGCTTGATGGCGGGTGAGGTACAAAAGGCTGGAGAAGGTAGGCTAGAGAAGGAGAATGACAAAAAGATGATAGAAAGAAAGCTGACTCCCATTGAATAGCTTCAGGAAAGGATGCCAGAGAAGGATTGTTAGAACCCAGTCTGCTGGCATCCAGTGGAGAGCTCATCCCTCATTCCTCACCCCCTCCACAATGGGTGAAAGGGTCACTGTTCTGAAAAGAGGGAAAAATTAAGATGTGCTCACCTCAACAAGTGATAGCTGACCCTGACTATGGTGGGCTTATCTGACCTCAGCCCAGTACCCTCCCTTCGTGATGTCTTTCTGAAAGCCAGAGGAGGGGCAGAGTTTGGTTTACCAGGCTTCTGAGAATTCCATATCTTGAGAAAAACTTATTATAGAGTGGGCTCAAGGTGAAGGGAGGAAGCTGGCTAAGCAGCAGCCAGAGCTTCAGACAGATGTCCTTGGTCTCCCTTTGGGCTATCAGTACCCAGGGGGTCAGGGTGAACTTGGGAAATAATTTAGAACGGATAAACCTTTAAAGGCGAGGCCTCTGGGAGTCCTAGGCCCTATGCCTTTTGCCTTTGTGTCTGCACCCTCCTAAGCCTCAGTTTCCTTACTTGTAACATGGGTATCCTAACATCTACCACAGCCTGGCTCAAGGTGAAGTTTTCACAATGTTATTTCCTCTCTTCTGGCTCCCTTACTACTGACCATTATTGAGCTCAGGCCTGAATTCGATCTGATCATCCAGCTTTCCCACTCGTTCATTCTTGAAGGAGCATTGGCTAGACCCTGTGCCAAGTTCTGAGAACCTGATGCAGAATATAAACCAGACCCTTCTTGAGGGGCTCAGCTCAACAGAGGGAGGGCAGTAGCAAGTCCTTTAAGTAAGTGATTACAGTGCCATATCTTTCAGGCTGTACTGGAGTTAGGGAGAGAAATCACATGTTAGCACCTCAGCGTGAATTTTCTTATTTTCTGCAGTCTCCAAAATGACAATATCCTAAAAAGGGAGAGGAACACCAAAGCATAGCTCTTTCCTGAGAGGCTAAAATCCTGACTATGTGTTCCTTGGCCGCCAGCTTACTCAAGACCTTCCATGGATTTCCCCCCTCTTAGAGAGAAACTGCTGTCTGTCCCATCTTTCCTCATAAGGAACCCGTGAAGGGATATGTATGAGTGCTCTCAAACAGATATGGGTTGCACATGACCCTTCTCCAAAGTCTAATCCTTTGAGTGGTTCTAGCCTCTCACCTCTTTTCCTGGACAGTATGGCAGTTTGTGAAAAGTCTGCACTTGGACATCTTAACACTTCCTCCAAAGCGAAACCCTCTGCCAATTCCCTACCTCCAAACTGATAGAGGCAGCCTGGAGCAGGGGTGGAGCATGGGAGCTGAGGCCCCGGTCCTGGTCCTCACTCACTTCCCATGTGACTTTCCTGTGCTTTGCTGGCTCTTCTCCAGGTCTCTGTTTGCACATCTATACTCCAAGGAGGGTGCTAGAACAGGAAGTCTTTTCCAAAGCTATCTTCTGTGAAGCATCATTGAACTTTACCCTTGTTATTTTAGTATTAAAGATATTGCTTGAAAGCAAGTGTTTAATCAAAGGATTTTTGCATTAAAGAATAAACTTTAAATCTCTTGGATGCAGAACTATCAAGAATATTAGCTTAGAGTCCAGGCAGACTTAGAAGGTCTCTGAGGGAGGAAGACAAACACCCTTCACTGGTTCCATGTTGCCTGTGGTTCTAATTTCTTAGTTTAACCATCAAGACCCTGCACAACCCTTGGGGGGGGGGGGGGGGGGGGCCTTGGTCTTTGTCTCTTGATCAGGACAGTACCTGCCTGACCAGGCCTGGCAGGGAACCTACTGATGTCCAGCCAGGGAGGTAAATGGATAGATGGCCTAATTAATCAATCTCTAGACTCCCTAAGGAATTAATTGGCCCAGTCTTCCCAGGAAATAATAAAATTTAGTTTGCCTTCGAAATTTCCTCTTGGCAACTCAGAAATGACAATATTTTCTAGCCTTCACACTTACATTTTACACATAGATATCACAAACATTAATATCTCACAAAGATATGTGAGCAGTCAGACTGACGGTCTCAGTTGGGGGGGGGGGGGGGGGGAGACAGGGCAGGCAAAGATTAACCAAAGAATTTATATGCATAATTCATGGACACAGACAATAGTGTGGTGAAGGCCAGGGATGGGGAATGGAGGAACCGGGGTTGGAGGTGGGCAATAGGGGCGGGGGAGAGAATAGGGGGCCATCAGTAATAACTTGATCACTAAAGATAAATTTTTTAAAAATCCATTTTTAATAAAAGGGCTCCACAATTTAGCATCCTCCTTATAGCAACAAGTGGCTGTGAGACGCCTCCCCTCACTGAATCTCAGTTTTCCCATTTGTAAAATGAGGTGATTGGACTAGATAATCCTTGAGTTCCTTTCTAGCTCTAGCATCTCCCTCAGCTGCCCTGGTACCTAGAGCAATAATTGGTCAGGGGACATGATGACCCCAGGATCTTGGAGCATGGAGAAATCATGGTGATGACTGCAGAACTCTTGAAGATGAATTTGGCAGGAACTGGCTGAGATGTTTTTCTGCTGATGGTAAAATGTTCTGGCAGACTCTGTACAGGTAGGTTGATGCAGGTGAGAGGTGGGATTGGGCTCTCCCCCTCTTATGATCCCTGACTAATGTTTCCTTGCAGATTCTGAATCCTCCAGGACTGATCAGCACCAGCTAGATTCAGCCATTCATATGTAGTTGAACCATCTTTCTGCACACTGTCCTGGCAGGGCTTCCAGAAAGGCTTCTTCTCCCACCTCTTAATGCCTCCTTGTATTTCATTGTCGCTGTCTGAAAGCATACTTTCCCAAAGCTTTCCAGTTCCCTCCAGGTGGCATGTTCTCTGAGAAGATTGTGGCCCTGACGCCATAATCAGCCAGGAATAGTTTAGCTCAGAATCAGAGCCATGAGGGGAAGACTTGTCCAAAATTGGGGCTCTGACTATTAAAAGAAAAATAATTTATTTTCAACATCATCTGAGAACACACACCCAAACTCAAAAACTATTCTAAAAGGTCAGTAAAGAGCTATGTTTCCATTAAAAACCAGGGAGGAAAGGAAATGGATATTTAACAAGTATCTGAATAGGGGGTGTCCACTAAGCTAAAAGCAACAAAATGGCATCAAGAAAGCAGTGACAAACCAATTTGACTACATCAAAACTAAATATTTGCAGTGACAAACAATATCATCATCCTAACCAAAAAGCAGAGTGGGTGAACTATGCAGATCCATAATGTATAAAAGGACAAATGCAAAACCTTAATAGTAAAAATGCAACCAATAAGTATGTAATTCACCTACACAGAATCTACAGAAGCGGAAATAGAATTGACTAAAATTTTTTTGAAAAATATTCAATTTTATTAGTAACTGAAGATCAACAATGAAAAACAATAAAGAAATAAGTTTTTATCAACAAATTAGGGGGGTGGATAGTTTAAGAATACACCATGTTGTTGTTGTTTATTTTTTAATATATTTTATTGATTTTTTACAGAGAGGAAGAGAGAGGGATAGTGAGTTAGAAACATCAATGAGAGAGAATCATCAATCAGCTGCCTCCTGCACACCCCCCACTGGGGATGTGCCTGTAACCAAGGTACATGCCCTTCACAGGAATCGAACCTGGGACCTTTCAGTCCACAGGCCGACGCTCTATCCACTGAGCCAAACCGGTTTCGGCAAGAATACACAATATTGATGAGGATACAGTGGAATGGACACTATTACTTACTTATAGTGCTGGGTATTAAAATATGATGATAATGCCCTGGCTGGTGTGGCTAAGTGGTTAGAGTGTTTGTCTGCACACCAGATGGTTGAGGGTTCAATTTCTAGTCAAGAGCATGTACCTGAGTTGCAGGTTTGATTCTCGACCTTAGTCGGGATGCAAATGGAAGACAGTGATGTTTCTTTCCCTCTCCCTGTCTCTCTCTCCCTCTTTCCCCCTCTATCTCCCCCCCCCCTTTCTCTCTCTCTCTCTCTCTCTCTCTCTCTCTCTCTCTCTCTCTCTCTCTCTCTCATGCGCACACAAATTCTAAAAGTCAATGGAAAAAATATCCTCAGGTGAGCATTAACAACTATATATGAAGAAAAAAATATATATATGAAGATAAATAAGATGTGGTACCCGCTCTTGGGCATGCAAAGAGGTAAGAAGGACATGGACAGATATTAAAATTACTATGTGTAGTGAGGAGTGGCCAGAAATATCGGACGTGAGCAAAGCATGCAGCCGCTGAGGGCGGTGAACTAGTAAGTGTGAAGTGTTACAGGAGCATCCAGGGGCACTCCTAGAGAGGTGCCTGGGTAAGTAGTTTTCAGGTATAGGGCAGAGACAGAAGTGAGAAGCGTCATGGATGAATTCGTAGACAGTTCAGGCTTGCCAAACATGAAATAAGAGGCAAAGATGAATAAGGTTTGTCTTCATCACAGTGTAATGTTTGTTTAATTGAAGAGTTTTATCTTTTTTTTTTTACCATGGAACCACTGAAGCATTTTGAGCAGGCAGTTGCTGTTTTAGCGTAATTATTCTGGTTGCTTGAAGACATCTGGAGGTTTAAAGGCCAATGAGGAAATGATTGCCTTGGTAGAGAAGGCAAGACCTGAATTAGGGTGGAAGCCAAGAGGATGGTGGAAGGTAAAATTAGAAAAACCTGCTGACCAGGGATGCCTTCTCTGTTTCTATATTGGGTGACTGGGAGAATACCCAGGAGAAAGAACAGGCTTTGGAGTGAGAGAAAGATTAGTGAGCCCAGTTTTGGACAAGTTGAGTAAAAGGTGGGCATCCAAGTGGATGTAGGTAGAGAGTTTGGATCCAGCAGGAAATTTGAACAACAGATTTAGGTTGTGACTAACGGTGATTATAGCCATGGACTTTGGTGAGGTGGTCCTAAGAGAATGTAGCAGCTAAAAAGAGAAAGGGGGTCTGGACAGAGAACCTCTTCCCCATTTAAGGGGTGGATAGAGAAAAAGAAAAGCACACAGGGGCAAAAAAGGAAGTCAGAGATGGAAAAGCACCTACAGCCTGTGTAACATGGAAACCCAGGGATGTGGAGCTATTCCAGGAAAGAATAATATGAAGACAAAAGAGAAAAGCCAGTTAGATAAGGACTGGGAGCCCACCAGATGGAGCACTTGGGGGCAGGGGATGTGTGTGGTGTGGGGGGGGAGGGGGCGGGGGCTTGCTAAATCCTCACTGGAACATGAAGCGGCAGAGGAAACTGGAAGTGAAAAGGGAGGGAAAACCAGGCAGCATGGCCACCCATCCTGGGGAATTTGTGATAACTGGGGAGAAGTTGCTGGTTAGGATTTGAGTGAGGGAGAATTTCTGAGGAAATAGGATAGACATGATAGAAGAGAGTGTGAAAGCACTAAAAGTCCTCCTGTCTGCAGAAATCAGAGCGAAGATCAAAGTGGGGTAAGGAGGGAAAATGTACATTGGTGACATTGACTAGGGCTATTGTCAAGCTGGAAAGTATATATGCCAGTTTGGAGCTCGCAAAGGAAGTGTGGGCATCTCTCAAGGGGGATAGATGGAGAACTAAGGATGGGTTTAAAGGAGAAGGTGCAGAGTTTATGGAATAGGGCTAGACTCAAAGCTGTAACGGACATTTTAGGGATGGATGCAGAAAGAGGATCCTGCTAAGGAGACCGAGCAGAAGGGGCCAGAGGAGAAGACCAAAAACGTGGGCATACTAGAAGCCCAGGAAAGAGAATTTTTAGAGGTCAGGGTAGCCACTGGGGGGCCAGATGCACAGAGTCGGGGAAGTGAGGGCATCTCCTGGATCTGGTCTTTGGAATCTTTGCCACAGCAGCTTTGAGGGAGGGGCCAGAAGCCCACCTGAGTGGGGGATGATCTGGCTAAGAAAGCAGAAGGGAGAAGGGGGGACTTTGAGGGGACAGGGAAGGTGCTTTTTCTTAGGTGCTGACATTTGAAGGGAAGAGGGCTCTGTAAGCCCAAGTTTGAAGAGCAAGATTAGGTAATGAAAGGGGCCCTAGAGCACTGGATTAAGTGCAGAAGTGAAGGGATTAGCTGTGTTGGTGGAAATGGACAAATTGATTCATGTACATTTTACAAGTCACCTGATCTCCATGTTCTGGAGGCTTTTTCTCTGCCCTCTGGGTACTTAAGTACAGCTCTAACTAGCAGTAGTTTTATCCTGCCTGTGTCCGGGGCCATGTCTCATTCATTCTTTGTACCTTTCGGCACCTAGCAACAGGCAGCGAGCTAGGTAGAGGCAGGATAATTACTTTCTGCTTGAAATCAAATGTCTGAAATAGTGGTTCAGAATTTTGTTACCACAGATTTTTTAACAATTCCCAGGAAAAAGGTGAACAAGGGGGAAGGAAAAGGTTGAGGCTGTCTGGATATAAGGCTATCTGGACTTCAGGAAATACATTCTGCACTCCAATGTGTACATAGCTCTTTATACTAGTAGTTTACATGGTGGGGTCATGACCATTATCTCATCTGATCATCCTGACCCCATCTTCCCACACTGGGTGGGTTACCATTAGCCCCATCTCCCAGGCTAGGAAGCTGAGGCCCAGAGAGGCAGATTAGAGGAAATTAATGATGCGCAATGAAGTAGAAGAGGACTGGGGCACAGTCTTAAATGCTACATTCAGGGTACCTGGTGGTGTCTGCTAGATCGGTGGTCGCCAACCTTTCAGACCTCACGGACCACCAGTTGGCGACTGCTGTCCTAAACGTTGAATAATTCTATTTCTGTCATAGATATTTGGACAGAAGTCAAAATCAGGAGAGAGCCTTGGTCTAACTGGCTGAGCTCAGGCCTCACACTACCCCTGATGACCTGGATGGTGAGAGGCATAACTTGGAGAAAGAGCCTCTGTTGCTTCTGTGAGATAGTAGCCTCATCCCAGCACAGCCACATAAAACAGGGAACAGGAAATTTCCCTAAATGTAACAAGAGACACTAGGGAAGAATAAGGGATACTAGAAAGCCCAAATCCCCAGACATCCATCATATGAACTAGCCCAGAGGCAGGGAGGAACAATGTCCAGATAAGAGAGTGAGAGGCCTGAACTAGACCAGTGGAGGGGGAGAGAAATAGGTCAGAAACTTGTAGTATATTAAAAACAAAACAAACAAACAACAAAAAAAAAACGAAATAAGTGGTGAATAAGGGTAATGACAAGGATGACTTGGATGGGTGACAGGGTGAATGGTGGGAAGTCCCCTGGGATGGGGAGCACAGGCAGCATGGGGAGCCAGTTTGAGGGGCAAGACAGTGGGCTTAGATTCAGCCAAGTGGTTTGGGTCACAGCCAGGTAGAGCCCAGCAGGCTCTTGGATCCACATTTGGAGCTCAGAAAGAGATTTGACCAGAAGTACCAGCCTAGAGCCATGTCCACTCAAAGAGTAACTGGAACCTTGAGAATGAGTGAGATCACCAGAGAGAGAATGAGACAGGGCCCTGTGCAGAATCCTGATTTACAATGACATTTGAGGAACCAATCATGGTGTGGACAGGCAACTAAGGAGAAAGATGTGGCAAACAACTAGGAGAGTGGGTTGCCATAGCAACCAAGGTAGTGAAGGGTTTCAAGAAGAAAGTAATCAACACTGTCAAATGCAGCAGAGCAGAGAATTCCAATAAGACAATTTTCTACTTTGGATTTGATAATTAATAAACTTTTGGTGACCTAAATAAGAGCATTGGGGGAGTGATCAGGTATAGGCTGGAATAATGTTGAGATATGACGGGTTGGTGAATCCATCACTAAGAGTCCTTTGAAGAGTCTGAAGAAAGATTTCATGATGTGAGGGTTGGGGTGGGAAGTTGAGCATAGGAGGCAGACATCAACCCCCACAAGTGATATGCATTCTTTAGTGACCAAAAGTTTATTCATTCCAAATTTCCTAGCTTAGCACCTATTTTGTGTCTAACACTATGGATAATTGGGTGAATGAAAGTAGACAGAATCCCTGTTCTCATGAAGCTTGTTTGGTTTAGGGGAGAAACACATGCATCAGATAATCACATAAACATAAAATTTCCAACATTGATAGACACTTTGAAGGAAAGATACTAAGTGCTGGAGGTGTACAATTTAAGGACCTGCCCTAGGATGACTCTTGGAGGCTTGCATGAGCAGGTGACACTTCAACCAGTTCGTTAAAAGGGGGAAGGAGTTCATGGGAAAGAGCAAATTTGGGAAAAGCATTTGGGCAGATGGTACAGTGCTGATTAGCACCTTCCAAAGAACCAGGAGAGACCTCTGGGGACCTTTATCAGAGGCAGCTTGGGGAAAATATTGACTGAGAATAAAGAGGAAGTAGCAAAGTCTAGGGCTTTTTATTTTTTTAATCTTCACCTGAGGATATATTTACTGATTTTATTTTTTATTATATTGTTTTTTATTATTATTGTTTATTTTTATTATTATTGTTAAATCCTCACCTGAGGATATGTTTTTATTGGTTTTTAGAGAGGGAGAGAGAAACATTGATATGAGAGAAACATCAATTGGTTGCCTCCCATCTCACCCCAACTGGGATCAAACCCATAACTTTGTTATGTGCCTTGACCGGGAATCAAACCTGCACTCTTTTGGTTTATGGGATGGGACTCCAACCAACTGAGCCATCTAGCTAGGGCTAGGACTTTTTAATTTTAATCTTAAAGGAAAGAACAGCACTGGTATATGGATATTCTGAGGGATGTGAGCCCAAGCGACAAAGCGATTACGGATGGAGACAATTAGTGAAATGAACTCCCAAAGGACTGAGATCAAGTGTTGAGGTGGACAAGTTAGTTTGGGGCAATAATGTGTATTTGTCTGGAAGGGACAAAATTAAATTATTTACCTTTTAGAGAGTAGTTTGATCTTCTTATTCGTTTTGGGAGCTTTTCTCTGACCTGTGTACTTACTACAGTGCTAATTAGCACCAGTTTTCTCCTGCCTCGTGGCTGGGATCAGGCCTTAACTATTTTTTGTGTTTCTCAGCACCAAGCCTCAAGCAGTAAGCACTTTGGGTGCTGAATAAGTATTTTCTTCCCTGGAATCAAATATCTGAAGTCAATGCTCAAACTTTTGACCAAAAAGAATGTATGACAATTCTTCAGAATGCAGGAAAGAAGAAAGAATTGGGATAATAAGTGATGGGTGGCGGGGGCTTGGGTGGGTGGGTGGAGAAAGAGTAGAGGAGTTTGCTTCCCTCATCCTTGTAAGCTCTGCCATTTCTGTGTTCTGTTTATATTCCCCATCTCATATGAACTTCATATCCCGCCACAAGACTCAGAGGATTGCCCCATTTCATAAAAGAGGAAGCAGAAACCAGAGAAGGAAGTACTGTGCTAACATACAGCATAAGTGGCAGGAGCTGGGCTCAGCCCTCAGTCCACCCAGTATCGCAGTCCCCCTTCCCAGGACCAGGTTGAGCTCAAGAAGAAGGAGGCCTGCCAAATCCAGGTGGAGACGTTCCACAGACACTTGCTCCAGGAGGTTGGAAGTACAGTCTGACTGGAGACCTACCAGATATTAAAGCATCCTTTCAAACCACAGTCTGGAATCTGCAGAACTGGCATCAGAGCAGGTTGCGCTCTTATTAAGAAGCTTTCCCATCATGTGAATTAAACTATATTTGCATCTAAAATTCCTAAATTTTAATAAAATGTTTAAGTCCTTAATCCACCTGAAATGTATTTCATTGTGTGGTGTGACACAGAGCTCTAATTTGATCTTTTTCCAAATGGATAACCAGTAAGCACTATTTATTGTCCCCACCCCATTTTTTCTCCCAATTCCCTATGTCTAGACTCTATTCAAACCTGCGGATCTATTTGTCTACTTCTAGGGCAATACCAGATTTTAATGAGCAAAGCTTTATCTTGCTACCCAATACGGTAAGTACCTCTCTCTTCCTGGCTCTTTATTCCTTTATAAATTAAGCCTGGTCATATTACACATTTACTTTTTCACATACATTTTAGAATCAGCTTGTCAGATTACCATGAAAACACACACACACACACACACACACACACACAAAAAAAAAAAACAAAACAAAAAAAAAACAAAAAAAAAAAAACCCCTCCTTTTGGAATTTTTAGTGGGATTGAAGGAAGAAATAACATCTTTAGGATATCGGTTCTTCACATCTATAAACATGGTATCTGTCTCCATTTAATCAGTCTTATTTGATTTGGTTCTTAATGACTTTTAATAAAGGTTGGTCGCTTTTGTCATAAAGGTTTTTCACATTTCTTAATAGATTTATGCCTTTGTACCCACCTTACCAATTTTGTTGCTTTTGTGAGTGGAAAAAGGTTTTTTTCTTATTGTTTTCCAAGTTTTAATCAGCTTATTAATCGTGATGCTTTATTCAGAGAATAAATGTACTTTGTCCCTGGGCACACAACTAAGAACACAGTACACATGTAAAGTAGAACTAATTGGCTGGAAATGAATTAGAACTTATGAATTAAATTTTAATTATACAAGTGATACATGAATATATTTTCTTATACGTAAAATTAATGCCTTACAAATAAAGAGGTTTCTTCTGATCTCCCACACCACCTCCTCAGGACTCTTCCCCCATTCAGAGGTAGTTGTTCTTGGGTTTTTGCTGTTTACCCAAAATGTTTTCCTATGCCCATTGAAACACATCTTTCATTCTCTGTGTGTATGTTTGTTTGCAGAGACAGGGTGTGTACACACTGGCGGTGTTGCTCAGCTTAGTGTGCCCTACGGGACCTGGTATAGCCTGCCAAACAATACAGTGCTCCTTGCAGCTGGCAACCAGCGGCCATAACTGATACACCACAGTCAACTAACTGTTTGACTTCCTTGCTTCCTACGATTGACTATTAAAATGTTCCCAGGGTCACTACATTACGAAGAAGCCGTTAAGAGCTTCCTTGGACATTGCCTGTTTGCATACATTCAAGTGTTTCTCTGAGAGATGCTTAGAAAAGGAATTGATGTGTCATAGAATATACTCATCTTAAATTCCAATAGAGACTGCTGAAATGTTCTTCCAAGTGTCATAATAATGGAATCTCCTGCCAGCAATGTGTGAGAGTGTCCATTTACCCAGACCATCTCCAAATTCTACATTTTTAACAGTCTGATGAATGAAAAATAATATCTCGGCTTTAGTTTGCATTTTCTGAATATACCTGCAAGGCTGAAGTCTTCATGTGTTTACTATCTGTTTGTATTTCCTCCTCTGGATTGCTTGTCCATACCCTTTGCCTATATTTTAAAGATATTTTTGGTCATTTTGCTATTGATTTTTAGGAGTTCTTTATGCATTTTGAATACTAATACCTTGTTATGTATGTTACAAATGTTTTTCTACATTGATTTTTATCATTTAATTATATCTTTTGTCTTAGAGAAATTTTACGTTTTAATACATAAAAGACTGATAAATTTACAGGCTTATTTAAGAAAGCCTTCCCTGTATCAAGGTCAAAAACATTTCTGTATTTTCTTCTCTAAAATTTATAGTTTGCATACATGTATATATTTAAGTTTTTATTCTATATATAAAATAAACTCCATACACAGGACTCTTAGGATCTAACTTTAATCCCTCCCCACCCCACAAAAGATAGGTAATTGTTCCAATACCACTTATGGAATAATATATCATTTATCCACTGGTTTAAAATTGCTACCTTTGTCTGACACTAAATGCCAATGCGGGTCTATGTCAGAGCTCTTTCTGGTCCACTAATCTATTTGTCTGCTCCCGAGCTTGATGATATGCTTTGCTAACAGGCAAGACAAATCCCACCCTCTTTGTTGTTTTAGCAAAATTGCTTTGGTCATCCTTGCATGTTTGTCCCGCTGCATGAATTTTAAAATCGGCCTGTCAAGTTCCAGAAAATTTTCTTCTAGGATTTTAATTGGGATTTCATTGAGTTTATGGATAACTGTGAAGAAAATTGGCATCTTTGTCAGGCTGAGTCTCTCTACCAAGGCACATTGCTATATTTCTCAGTTCCAGTCAGCGTGTATATCTCCAAGGGATGTTTTTTGATTTTCTGTGGTCCAAGTCTTGCACATTTCCTGATAAATGTATTTCTAGGTTTATTATAAGTTTTGCTGTCAACTTAGAATAGGACTCCCTCTCCCCTTATTTGGTTGGTCCTTATTCTTTCATTCCATTGCATCTTGTTTCCTAATAATCACTGTACCTGATTTGCAGACACACGCACAAAGTAAATGTTCTTTCTCCCTGAGCACAAACATTCGGGCACAGCCAAACAGAGAGCCGGCAGAGTTGGTTGAAAACAAATTAGAATCTTTTCCAATTATACTTTAATCAAACAAGTAAAGGATGAATGCATTCTCCTCGTTAAAAATAGGACAATGTGACTATAGCTAAAGTTTCTTTTGGCCACCTGAGATCCTGATTCCTTCCCCTCCACAGAGGTGGCTGCTGGTTCAGTTTTATGTGTCAACCTCCACATAGTATTGATGGAGGCATTTGAATAAATTATACCACATCATAGGTATTATATTATATCCTGCATTTTTTTCATTCAATCTTATATTTCTGAGATCTGCAATGTTAATTGCTATAGCAGCTCTTGTTCTCTCCTAATAACGGTTAATACCCCTTCACATGGCTGTACCCTATTTTCCCTTTACTAGCACGCATAGACCCTTAGGGGTTTCCCCTATTATGAAGATGCTGCCAGGTACAGCCTCTTGAAATATTTCTGTGAGATAGATACTGAGAGTGAAATCTGGCCTTCTCATTGTCCACTGTTTTAGTTTTATTAGGCATGGCCCCGGTTAGCTTCTGAAGTGGCTGTGCCAATTTAAACTCCTTCCACAACTAACTGTAAATTCAGATTTTTTTCCAGATCATCGCTAGCTTTTAAAGTTTATAGCTCAAATGGGTGGGGGGGGAAATGGTTTCTTCTTGGTATAATTTATATTTTGCTAAGTGACTGGTCATTATGTGTTGTCCTCACAGGTTTCTGGCCATTTATATTTCCCCTTTTGCAATCATCTGTGCATATCCTTTGTCCATATTTTTTCTGAGTTTTCTGTATTGATTTATGGGAATTCTTTATATTTTCTTAATATTAATTCCCTGTCCACTCTATGCATTGAACATAATTCTCTACCATTCTGAACCTGTCTTTTAACTGAACTGTATCTTTTATTATAGAACTTTTTTATGTCAAATATAGAGTCTTGTTAACTAAGATCACAGCCATTTTTTCTATATTTTTTCTAAAGCTTACATAATTCTCTTTTTTGTATTTATATTTTGCATTTTACACTTTTCACATTTAAGATTTTGCTGTATATGAAGCTTATTTTAATGTAATATTGGTATTTAATTTTTATAAATATCAAAATTGATAACCTTTGTCTGACACTAAATGACTTGTGGGTCTATGTCAGAGCTCTTTCTGGCCCACTAATCTATTTGTCTGCTCCCGAGCTTGATGATATGCTTTGCTAACAGGCAAGACAAATCCTACCCTCTTTGTTGTTTTAGCAAAATTGCTTTGGTCATCCTTGCATGTTTGTCCCGCTGCATGAATTTTAAAATCGGCCCGTCAAGTTCCAGAAAATTTTCTTCTAGGATTTTAATTGGGATTTCATTGAGTTTATGGATAACTGTGAAGAAAATTGGCATCTTTGTCAGGCTGAGTCTTCCTACCAAGGCACATTGCTATATTTCTCAGTTCCAGTCAGCGTGTATGTCTCTAAGGGATGTTTTTTTTATTTTCTGTGGTCAAAGTCTTGCTCATTTTCTGATAAATGTATTTCTTGGTTTTTTATAAGTTTTGCTGTCAACTTAAGAATAGGACTCCCTCTCCCCTTATTTGGTTGGTCCTTATTCTTTCGTATTCCATTGCAACCCATTTACTAATAATCACTGTACCTGATTTGCAGACACACATGCAAAGTAAATGTTCTTTCTCCCTGAGCACAAACATTCGGACACAGCCAAACAGAGAGCTAGCGGAGTTGACTGAAAACAAATTAGAATCTTTTCCAATTATACTTTAATCAAACAAGTAAAGGATGAATGCATTCTCCTTATTAAAAGTAGGACAATGTGACTATAGCTAAACTTGCTTTTAGCTATCCTCTGAAGTCCCACCCTGTCCACAGTTTTGTCTCCTTCCATAGTATATTAATGTAGGTATTTTGAATGAATCATCCCACTATATAGGGACTTTATTGTGAGCTGCTTTTTTCACTTTAAAAAAAATTAAGATATATTCATATCGATGTAAATTGCTCTTGTCCAATTCTTTATTAGCTGCATTATATTTACTCCCATGAATGTACCACATTTTCTCTTCCCCAAGATCTACAGACATTAAGTTGCTTCCTTTTTTCTCCTCTATAAGCAGCACTGTAGGAAAACAGCCTGCACATGCCTCCACTGTAATGTTTTTATAGACTAGTGATTCAGAAATGGAATTTGGGGTCTCAAATTTTTAGCTTTCCACATTTTTAGTTTTAACAAATATTACTAAAGTGTCTCCATAATTTATGTGCCATTTAAATGTCCAGGCAGAGGGTAGGAGAAGGCTCTAATCCCCATGGCATAAGTAGCTTTTTTAAATATTTGCCAATCTGATGGATGAAAAACCGAATCATTTTAAAAAATATATAATACCTGTTTGCTAGTGAGATTTTA